CCATATGTTGTCTGCTGCTGTAACTGAATACCTGAGACTTGGTAATTTAGAAAGGACAGAAATTTATTTCTTACAGTTCTGGAGGCTAGGAAGTCCAACATAGTCATGTGTTGCTTAAAGGCAGAAATACATTCTGAGAAATGCATCATGAGGCAATTTGGTGGTTGTGAGAACATCGTAGAATTTACTTACACAATCCTGGATGGTATAGCCAGCCTTCTATTTAGGCTAGGGTAGTGGCGTGGGGGGTGTTGAGGAGAGTCAGATTGAGAGCTGAAGTCTCAAATCAATTAGTCTATAGACGTGTGTGTGTGTGGGGGGGAGGGGGGAGTGGTGGAGGGCATTATAGACAGAGGGAACTTCACAGGTAGAAGTCCTGGGCTGGGGGGAACTTGGCTCATTCAAGCAAAGGAATGACCAGTGAGATGGCAGATAGCCTACTAGACCTAGACTGTGTGGAATAAGGTATTGCTCCTAGGCTAGAAACCTGTATGGCATGTTACTGTGCTGAATACGGTAGGCAAGTATAATACAATGTCAAGTATTTATGTATCTAAACATAGAAAGGGTACAGTAAAAATAATCTTACGGGACCATCATCATATATGTGATCTGTTGTTGTGGTGCATGACTGTATGGAGGCACCAGCATCTAGTGAGGGTCTTCTTACTGCATCATCCCATGGTGGAAAGTGGAAGGGCAAGACAGCAAGAGAGAGTGTGGTGGAAAGTGGAAGGGCAAGACAGCAAGAGAGAGTGGAACTTGACAAGACTACTCTGGCAATAATTAACCCACTCCCAAGATAACAACATTAATCTATTCATGAAGGTAGAGTGCTTATGAACTAATCATCTTTTATTAGGCCCCACCTCCCAACACAGTTGCATTGGAAATTAAGTTTCCAACACATGAACTTAGCACCTGACCTAGTTAAAGCTAAGTGGTACAAGAGTAAATTGAAATTCAAGCCTTTTCTGTCTTACATAAAAAAGATACCTTAAAAGAGTCTTTTAACAAATTTCACTGAAGGGTGTCAGTCTTCCTTCTTTCAGTGAATTAGAGACATCGGTGCAAAGAATATGAATTATTGATCATCTTAATTCAGCTAGTTAGTGAGCTGTATCACATTTATTAAAGTCACTTTTATTTCTATGGGTTTAGTTTCACCATTTATTAGGAGGAAAGGAAACAACTCAAATTTGTGAGGGAGCTGTGGGTTGTCAGGAAAGGCTTTTCAGAGCAGTAAAGCAATCAAATGACAGTAACTGATTCAATATTTGTTTCCTTTGTCTCTTTTTTTTACTTTTTAGTTTTGTAGAACACTTGATCACTGCCATCTCACTTGGTCCTAGTTGATGTATCATCTACATTTTTATTCAAGGTGTACTACAAAATGCTATAAAAGGCTATCCTAAACTGGTTTTAAGCATATTTATTTTGTTTGTTAAGCATAAAATACGGAAGAGGATTTTTATGGAGTGACTCCTTGTTACAAGGTACTTTGCGTTTATAATCAGCCTCAGTCACCTCAGTTTCATTCCATAGCTTACAGGTATGATGTGCTGTATACTCAAAAGCCTCACCAGCTGCTTGCCCCACCCATTTGCTTAAATGTATCAGTTTTTTCTAAGCTTAACATTTACCAAAACCCGAGTTCAAAAGATGAATATTTTTCCTTGTTAGATGTTAACTAAATATTTTTAAATGTACAAAGTTTGCATACAAACATAACCCAAATGACATGAAAGTTATTTGATTCATGACTTACCTGTGTAATCTCCTGGCCTACTTGAAATTCCTCCCTTCCCTCTAGTCTAGTATCTATATTCTCAGTTATCGGGAGGAAGTTAGGGACCTAGAATTCTTGTGATTGTTTTCAGAGCAGTAGCATTTTGCTAAAATAATTCAAAACATATATCCCTATCTTGGGACTTGAAGAGAATGTGAAATGCTTTATCCTCTGTTTTGCGGGAATGAGGGAAGGAGGTTGTTCTTCGCCAATTAACAAGTAAATTTAAATAAATAATCCAAATCTGGTGTGGGTAAACAAATTTTAGTAACTGTCAAAATTAAGTATGCTTCCCCTTTGGGTTCCAGATTTTACTTAATACTTTTTGAAAGCAGTAAGATAAAAATTTCAGGACCTCAAGAGATGGGTCAAAAGAGTTTCACTGTAATACGAATCGTGAAGCCAGAACTGGAAATCCCCTGTGCTGTTTCTTCCTCTTCATGGTGGTAGAGGTTACAGTTGTCAAATAGTCCAGAGAAACAATGAGAACTTAGGATTTCTGATAGAAAAGTTTTAACAGAGGTGTACTTGTATGCAAATAATGTATGATGCCTCAGTTTCCTCCAAAGTCTTGGTTAACAGAGTTAGAAAAAAATCAGATTATATTTGAAGTTCTGTGTTCATCGTGGAGTAATTATTATTCCAATGGTACAATATACAACATAACTTTAGTGCACTTTTTGGTATAGCATAAAGATTTTCTCTTTCTCTGAAGTATTTCTGAAATTAAAAACAAAATAAGTGTGGTAGAAGCCGTTATTTATGAATTATCATGCTAAATTAATTAACTCATTAATTAATTTATTCAAGGCACACCCAGTTATTCCCCAAACTGAGTGACATGTATCTTGTAATAGACACATTAACCTTGAGAAAACCCAAAGGATCATTATAACAGTAAACAAGAATGTAGGCATCCACATAGTGGATGACTTTAATGACCTGGCACACAGTGCTTTATCTACTTGGCACATGTATAGGTACAAGGAACACTTAACATTTTGCACCAGAGCTTATTATATACCTTTTTCAATGCTTTAGGTATTACGTAAATGCTAAAATTCTAAAACCTATAGTAAAGCAAAGACCCAGGTTTTATTTTACAGTAGTTTTGCCAGTAGGTCTCATCCTTACTAACTTACCTTTTAAGATGAAGAACAATGTAACCAAGTGGGAAGAAAAAGAGCCAATATGAAGAAATTGTCATTGTTTTGAAATCTGCTTCTTTTTCTTTCCTGTATTTCTGTGCAAGAAGAGAATCATCTCTGACCTTGTGAAAGGCAAATACCATGTGTTGGTATTTTATTACATAATTATTATATTATATGACAATATAATAATTGACTGATACTCATTTGGCAAGGACTTGAAATTTCCTGCTTAAGATCCTCCACCTATTTTTAACAGCTGGGCTCCCCAACCCCTGGATCGCCAACCAGTACCAGTCCGTGGCCTGTTAGGAATTGGGCTTGCACAGCAGGAGGTGAGCAGCTGGTGAGTGAGCAAAGTTTCATCTGTATTGACAGCTGCTCCCCATCGCTGGCATACATTACCGCCTGAGCTCCACCTCCTGTCAGATCCGCAGCAGCATTAGATTCTCATAGGAGCAAGAACCGTATCGTGAACTGCTTGTGTGAGGGATCTAGGTTACGCTCTCCTTTTGAGAATCTAATGCCTGATGATTGGTCACTGTCTCCCATCACCCCCACATGGGACTGTCTAGTTGCAGGAAAACAAGCCCAAGGCTCCTGCTGATTCTACCTTATAATGAATTGTATAATTCTTTTGTTATATATTATAATATAATAATAATAGAAATGAAGTGCACAATAAATGTAATGCGCTTGAATCATCCCCAGACCATCCCCAACTCCACCGGTCCATGTCTTCCACAAAACTGGTCCCTGGTGCCAAAAAAGGTTGGGGACCACTGTTTACCAGAATACATAGCGTGGGTTTATAAATTCCCTATCTTTGCAGCACATCCTTTATTTCTGGCTTGCATGGGACTTGAAAGCCTAAAACAACTAAATGCTAAGAAGAATTATTTTTAAAATTATGACAAAATTTTTTTATTTCAGATATATAGATCTGCAGTCCAGAACTGTGAATTTTTTTCAGCTGAGTAGTCTGTTTGCCAATAAATAAATAAATAAAAACTTGCCTATGTTTCTTCTCGTACATTTTATTTAGGATTTTATTAGACATTATTTAGTGCTTTTCTGACATCGTAGGGCAAGTGAGAATAACTGAAACACTAGTTTCTTAAAATTTCTGTTAAAATTGGTTAAAGGCATAGAACTTTTTTTTTTTAAAGTTAAGCATGAGGATACCTCTCTTAACTTTTTTTAAAGTTAAGAGAGGTATCCTATAAGAAGTAAGGGGCAGGTAAAGATTTTAGAGATGTGTAGTCCAGTATGTTAATTAGAGGGGACTACCTATTTCTAATCCGGAATTATTAATCTTTTCTGATATATCTGTTAAAGTACTCTTAGCATATTTTAAGACAATTGGCATTTTAAAGTATAGTCTTTGATGGTAGAAATGTGAGGCTGACAAAAATCATGTCCTTTTATATGTATGAATTTAGTCTTCTTTATACAGTTCTTCCTATGATGGAATCTAAAACACAAATGTCTTCAAAACTTTTAGTCTACTTTGGTTACATGTGTTTATTAGCTTATTGTTCACCTTATAGATTAATGGCAAAAAAAAGTATAAATTTTAATATTTCTACCTTTCTGGCTTGATGAGGTCTACAGCATTAATTTCTGACTGGTTAATGCAAACTGGGATTCCTGTTGTCCTAAGAAAATCTGGGAAGTTAAATCAGTAACACAAACACATCTTTTGATTTATTTCAGGATCACATAAACCCATTTTGAATTATTCAACCATTGCTCAACATCTTGAGTATGTGTAATTAAGAGGTGACTATAACTGGAATGTTCTTAAGACTTTAAGTTGATTATAAAATTTTGTGCTTAATGTTGACAATAATAAAAACAAAACAAAAACTTTTATTTTAAAACACAGTCTTGCTCTGTCACCCGGGCTGGAATGCAGGGAAGTCATCATACTTCATTACAGCCTGGATATCCCAGGCTGAAGCAGTCCTCCCACCTCAACCTCCTGAGTAGTTGGGACTACAGGCACATGCCACCATGCTTGGCTAATTTTTTTTTAGTAGAGACGGTGTCTTTCCATGTTGCCCAGGCTGGTCTTAAACTTCTGGACTCAAGTGATCCTCCTGCCTCAGCTTCCCAAAATACTGCCATTATAGGCAAGAGACACCACACCTGGCCAAAAAATAATTCTGAAACAGCAAGGAGGAAGGTGGTTTCTTCTCAGGAATTCTAGATTTTAGTTGAGCATGTAAAGGGATCGGTTGACTTACTAACCACTTAGGATTGCACAGTAAGAGAATTTAGTTAAAGGGTAGCCAGCACAGGAGTGGGCCTGGGAAGAGGAAGGGCAGTTTGTGTTAATGTGCATGGGTCCAAGACAAAAATGTTGGGTAACAGAGTTTTGCCGAATGCATTGTTGCTAAAAGGGATGAAGGGCATCAGGATCTACAGGAGATGGAAAAAGTAGTGACTGGATAGTACTGGGAAAAACTAGAATCGGATCAAGGCACTGGAAGGCAAAATACTGGGTAGAATGTTTGCTGCTATTTCAGTTTCTGTATAAATACCGAGTACAACGTTTCCCTTGGGTGGTGAAGGTGCTATGGCTGTGACGACTCCTGAGAGTGAGTTTTCTAGTAAAAAAAAAATCTCCGAATGCACAGAATAGTCTCAGGCCTTCTCAAATTTGCAAAGAACAGGTCCACAAGACCTAAATTGCAGTAGTGTAACCTGATAATTAACATTTTTTGCTTTCCTGCTAGAACATTCCTGGGGCCCAAGTCCAGAGACTGGGAACTGAACCACGCATTTCCTTTAGATTGTACAAGTTGTGAAGGTTGATGTTACTAGCTTGGTTACTATTTGGAGTCTTAGCTCATAGTGTGTCTTTATGGCTTTCTGCCTCACTGGACCCTCTTCCCAAAAGGCTTTAGAATGTGTTCACCATCATGAGCTGACCAACAATTTCTAAATTCCTGCTCAGAAACACAGCAAGGGGAATGCAGTCAAGCACAAAGGGCTTAAATGACCAGGTAAGGCTGGGCTGGATGAATAAAGAGGAATGTCCTATGAGTGTGACTGTGTAGTTTTACAGTATCCTGTTTCAACGGTTAACATTTGACTTGTGGCCTTGTAGACAGTGTATTAATATCAGATCTTCTTTTTCAGAACTGTTTTAATCATGGACAAACAAAGTAAGTTATTTTAAATGTTTACTTTCCTCCCTATAATGTTAATCTGTTGGTAACTTGTTATTTGTCATAATGTTTTATTCAGTGTCTGAAAGTATATAATTTGCTTTCTGTTGTTTATGCTCCAGAATACAATGTCTAGTTCAGTATTTCGACTATAGAGAAGATGTACAACAATACCACTGCCACCAGGTTCTTCATTAAAAATAAGAAAACCTTTTGGAAAGCTAAGAAATGCTAGATTTATTGGGAAATATGTTCTGTAACACATATTCAAACCAGAGCAATATTCTCTTTTCTCTAGGTGTTTTCTATCTATAAAGATTATTCAGTCATACTAATGAACAGATAATAAGATTTCAGTTCATTGTAATAAACTCCTCAGATACACACTTCGACATATATTTCATCACAGACACATGTTTGTATGTTTAAATAAATACCAGTCATTATGTTCTGGCTTTTTTTCTCTCAAGAAAATTCTAAGTAAGATGGATATTTATCAAGCAAGTAATAAAAACTTTGTCTTATTAAGATACTAAGGTTCTGAAGAGGGACACCACTACAGAGGGAAAATTATGTTCAAAATTCCCACTACATAGGGAAAATTAAATCCAAAAATTAAATCCTGTTTTTCTGAAATGCTTTTCTTTATTCTCTCTTTCATCTTTGTTGAGGTAACAAAAAAATATTTATCTATTGCTACAGTGTCAGCCTTATTAGATATATGAAATAATCTCCAGGACTAGACTCCTCGCTTTTCCCATGTGAAGTTTTATGGTTTTCTTTTTACTTACAAAACTCAAAGCTTTTAAAATGTAAATTGATATAGAGTTACACTGTTTTATTTGCCACAAACTTTAAGTTGATTCCACTGAATTTACAAAAATTTATCTCGTCATGGTCATAGTCAACTTTTAACTTTTTAGTTTTGTATATATAATTGTATGTATATATGAATGCATTTGCCTAAATAGAAATAAAATGTGTATATGTGTGTGAATAAATGTGTATATATGTATATATACATACATGTAGACATAAAAATAAAATATCTTTAAGACAATGCAATAGACTTGTATTATTTATAAGCCATTTTAAGTTGCATTTCAAAAATGCAGAAATCAAACCATAATTAGCATGCTCTTTGTTCTACTTGAACACCTGCCCATTCACTCATTCTCCTTGTATGAATTCTCCCTGGAATGCCTGAAATCAGAATCATTGCTTTGGTACCAAAAGTCCAGAGATTGTGAGCTCATGATTTCTTGAGTCTGTCTGCTCCTGGATATGTGTATGTGTGTGTGTGTTCTATGTTCTAGTATTCAAACAATGTTGCTTATTAAGAGGTATCACAATGTGACATACCTGTCAAGGGTAGATCTTTACTTCACACTTGGAGAGTATTTTCCTGAAATCTCTTCTGAGTCTGATGCTGTTGTTTCCAACTTAAGTTTGGAGTAGGGGCTGCAGGCAGGGCCTTATTAGCTAGAGAACTAGGGAGTTAGGTCAGTCACTTGATGCTGAGAAATAGAAGAGAATGGATGGGAAAGAATGATGGGGAGTTTCGGAGATTTGTAATGATTCAGAAATCAAAGGATATGTTGCAGTGTTTGTCCAGGGGAAAGCCTTCATATGTTTTTTGTTGTTGTTTTGTGTGTGTTTGTTTATTTATTTATTTGAGACGGAGTCTCGCTCTGTCCCCCAGGCTGGAGTGCAGTGGCACCATCTCGGCTCACTGCAAGCTCCGCCTCCCGGGTTTAAGTGATTCTTCTGCCTCAGCCTCCTGAGTTGCTGGGACTACACGCGTATGCCACCATGCCTGGCTAATGTTTGCATTTTTAGTAGAAATGGGGTTTCATTATGTTGGCCAGGCTAGTCTTGAACGAGAAGGAGAGCGGTTTTTTTGCCTGATTTTACACAATCACCATGCACTGCATTCTGCTGAAGTCATGATGAAGCCATTTATGAAGGAGAAAGACCGGGACAGGGGGTGAGGAGAACAATCCAATCTTCCTGATAAAACCACATGATAAGCGAGTTGAGTGGTCTTTGAAAGTTCATAATAGAGACATATACAAAAAAAGTGTTACAGTGAAAGTTTGACCTGTATGTTCTTCCATATTGATGCCATGCCTCCATGATTCTAAAAAAAAATTTTGAATTTACAGTTAGTAATTCATAAGGAAACAGATAAGGAGATAAATGTAGTGTCTGCTACACCTTAAGCTGTATGAAAGCAGAGCCATTGTAGCCACAGAGCCTAATTCAATGGTGACACAGGACATACTCAGTAAATATTTGGAGACTGACTGTGGTAGTAACTGAATGACTAGATGGGCATGAATATTAATATTTAGGAGGCTGAACCATTTGTGCATATATTAAGGTTACACAAGCCTTCTTAGCAAATAACAAAGTTTAATATGCTAGTGTATTACAATTAAATGGTATGGCTTTTGTGGGTCAAAAACAGTCATATTTGGGGAATTTCATATGGTTCAACTTTATTGGTGTAGTTCTAGAGTAAGCATAAAATATATAAATACTGAAGTATATTCATTATTTTAAATATTTAAAATAATTCTTATAGCAGTGACGATAGATATCTTTAAAATCATCCATAATTCTACCATCCTCACATCCCATTAATTTCATTTATCTCTTTCTTCGTACTCTATATGTAATTTTAAAGCTATCTTTATTTTATTGTCAACAAAACATGGAACTGACCATTCATCAGGGATGTTTCAAAAACTGGTGATTCAGCCCCAGTAACTTAGCTGTCTCATTTTATCTAAAGGAAAATTTGTTTGAAACAAATTTGCTAATCGCAAATTAGCTCTGATAATAGGCATAGCTTATGTTAAGTGAAAATTTTACTTCCCCTCTTTCAATATAGCATAAGACCACACAAGTGACAATTATCTAAGTACAATACATTGTTTCTTTCTAATATGTATTTTATTTAATCAGACATCTATTTACCTCTCCTTGAATTGCAGACACACAGATGAATGCTTCTCACCCGGAAACAAACTTGCCAGCTGGGTATCCTCCTCAGTATCCACCAACAGCATTCCAAGGTAAAGTAGTTGATTAAAGAAGAAAAATGAAAGTTAATCAGTCTCTCTCTCTTGAGAGAGAGAGAGAATTGTGCATTTGTTTTTATTTTAGTTGTTCTTTTTTTAAAACTATATTAATGAAATTTTGGCAGCCTAGTTGTTCCTGATTATTTTTATTTGGCTATATATTTTCCATAGAAGTAATTTTTATTTATAGAGGACAGTAAAGGTATAAAGAAAGCTAGTAAAAACAGCATTAGGTTTAAATTTAGCAAATGAAATACAAGACTGCACATCCCAAAACACAAATGTTAAGTAAAATATTTTATTGATCCTCCATCTGTTCTGAAAATTATGATCATTTAATCACATTTAGGAAATTTATTTCTGATAAATTGAGTCATGTCGCTTGGCATGTGTTCAGTGAGAGTCACATCAAAATGGTAAGACGGCTTAAAACTGGAAGTAACAGAAATTCAGTTACCTGGGAATAATTCTCATTTTAATTTTATAATATATATGAAAGCTTCATTTTTGTATATATACTGATTCAGCCCTGTATTTCTAAGAAAAATAATTGAGTCATTTGACTACGTATGTAATTGAGTACATTTTTTCTTTTCAACCAATGCCTGAAAGAATTCAGAGATTTTCATTTAGGCAAATGCAGTTATCCAAACTACTAGAACTTTAAAAATAGCAAACACCATGGCATGTCCAGATTTACAAGCAGGCAGGCTACCCAGATCTTGAAAGAGCATCCTGGGGATTTAGTATCAAAGGGAATGTGGGTTGGATAGAAGGATGTACCCATTGTGTGCTCTTCCCTGAGTAAACAAATGTGCTTAGGAGCTGAATGTCATGTTTAATTGCCTAGCAAGAAACCTCCCTGCGGTCCAAGTTTGCAACTAAAAGAATATGAGCTAGATAAGCTCAAAGACTCTCAGGTGGTGGCTCACGGCAACCATGCCTGCACTGAAGTATCATCACCCAGAACCACTTAAAAATAGTAGTGCCAAGGCATTATTCCAGAAAAATTAAATCATAGCTTCTGGTGGTGGGACTCAAGGAATAGTAATCTTTTAACACCTGAAGTCATTCTAATGTGAAGCCAGGGTTGAGAACCTCTGCTCTAAATTCTTACAGGGTTGCTGTTTGGAAAATCATTAGTAAGTCTATAATAGTCATCCAAGGCACTTAAGAAAATTATGTAATCCACCCTATCACTAAATTAAAAGTGGATATACATAAATAATACAGTTCAGATATAATCAGACTTGAGAGTTTGCTGACATATATATATATCACTCTACAGCTTTATTTTGTTTCTCAAGTCCAGGATTACATATAGCACAAGTCTTAAGATAACAATGATGCTAACAGTAAGGATAATTTAAAATTGAGAGCTTACCATGCTTTAGTCATTGTTTTAAATGTGGAATTAATGTGGATTAACACATTTAATTCTCAGAATACTCTTATGAGGTAAATACTGTTAGTTACCCCCATTGTGTATGTGGGAAAGCTGAGGCATAGGGAGTTTGGATCAGGCTTCAGGTTCTGCCTACTTTTTTAAAATAAAAATTTGTATAGGTAAATGTGCTGGTAAACTAGGTTCTGCCCTCTTTACTGATAGTTATGTGGTAGTCTTAAACAAGTTGCAGTACCTCGAAGCCTCAGTGTTCCTATCTATAAATGAGGGTGATATTTTCAATGTAGGTTGCTTTGTAGAGTAAATGAGAATATATGTAAAACACTGAGCACAATGCTTGCAAATAAGAAATGACAAGTATTTGCTAACATATTTAAAATACTTTAAATCAAGTAGTCTTTACATAAATGATACTAGTGTTCAAATTTCAGGTAATTCTTTATGCTTAATTCATTCATTTGATGAGTAATCAATCATATTTTCAGAGTCTGGGGGAAATTATGATGTTAAAAATGTAAGAAATTAAATCACATCTCTACATACCCACTGGTCTGCCTATGGTCTGGTTTCTGTGCTGACGCCAGTGATCTTTAAAAATGTAAATCTGCATAGGATTTATACCTGATGTAAATGACGAGTTGATGGGTGCAGCACAGCAACATGGCACAAGTATACCTATGTAACAAACGTGCACGTTATGCACATGTACCCTAGAACTTAAAGTATAATAATAATAAATAAATAAAAAATGTAAATCTGCTCATATTACGGAGAGTGTATAACCCCTATTTTATTAGTATCCTATTACTTTCAGGATAAAGGCTAACACTAAACCCAGAATGGCCTTTTCCATGCTCTCTCTTTAACCTCCTCTTGAGCCTGGCTTGCTGCTATTCAGCTAGACTGGCTATTTTTCAGATTTTTAAAGGCCTATGTTAGTTACTGTCCCAGGACTTTGCTCTGAAATGTTCTTTCTATGACTCTGGCCTCCTGAACTCCTGTGCATCCTTCAGATCTCAGCATAAAGGTGACCCCTCAGGGCAGCTGTTCCTACTCCTTCCCTTTTTCTCTTCCCATCTCAATAGCGACCTTTGGCATCTCTAGTCATAAAACCGTGGTCTCTTACTTGAAAGCATTTATCTCTTATTCTAATTAATCAATTAATTACTCTGGTATTATAGCTCCCTAGAATAAGTGGGGATTTAAAGTTGTCTCTCTCATTAAACAATGATGGACAGGGATTGCATCTGTGTCTTCCATTGTAAATTCTAATACTTTTCTACTCCTGAAAATTTTGTAAGATATAAATAAGACCATGGAACTCATTCTTCTGCTCAGAATCCTCTAGTACTTGCCAATCATAATTGGAACCAAATCCAGACTCCTTACTAAGGCCTCCTTTGATGAACAGCTTCCTATTGCTTTGCTAACAGCATGTCAGATTCATTACAAAGTCAGAGGTATTCTATTTGCCTTTCTTTCCTCCTGAAGCATTTCTCACTAGGTCTTCATATAAAGCTTTCCTCATCTTTTAGACGTTGATGGAAATTATATTTACCTAAAGTGACTGCCTCATGCCCTGCCCTCCCTGACATACATTCTCTCCATCACATCCATATGAATTTTTTTCGTTCTAAATGTGTTTTCTTTCTCTCAGAAGTTGACTGTAAGCTCTCTGATAGCAGGATGCCTCCTTGAGATTTGTGTCCTCATATTCTACAACACAGCCAGTCACATTATGGATCATTTGTAAATATTCATTCATCATAAAGGAATAAATTATAAAAACTACATTATGCATTATTGTGAGGTTTAATCTGTTTTTCTAAGCCTTATTTTTTAAAGGCAAATGAATTTTGTCATAAATGTTCCATTTAAAAGAATGTATACATTTCCTATTCTAAGTATTGCATTTTGCATAGGCTTTAATGTTAAAATATTGAGAAACACAGTCCTTTGAAATTATATTCCACTGCTATGGAATTTTGTGGACCATACAAACAGGCATATAAATCTTCATTGTAATCACACATTCATAGAGAATATGAAGTACACTTACTCTTATTAAATTTCTGCCTCTACTCTGCCTCTTACAATTTTTTCCCATCCTTGTTTCTCAAATTATATTTTCCAGGGACCAAAGGATGTTAAATTGTGAAATTTAAATTTCTAACCTAAATATTACAATGAAATTTTCTTTTAATGAAGAAGGACTTAGGAAAGCAATACATTATGGATTAAAACATAATGCAAAGGATTAACTCAAGCAGGTATCTGGAATGTACTGAAAGAAATGACATACTTTCACCTTCAACAGTGGCACTATAATATTTTGGGCTGGACAGTTCTTCATTTTTAGGGAGCTGTTCTGGGTCTTTGAAGATGTGTAGCAGTAGCTCTGGCTGCCACCCACCAGATGCAGTATTATCTTCCCCTCCAGTTGTGACCAAAAAGAGTCTGCAAATCTTGTCAAATATCCCTGGCAGAGAGGGGGCAAAACTACCCCCAGTTCTATACATACCTTATAAGTCATTTGCTAGAATTTCAGAATTATCATTTTTCACAAGGTACTTTGGCCCTAGAAATGCTGACTCAAAGCCATTATTTTGGGCCTTCCATCAATGCCGTGTCTGTTTCCCTTGAGGCTTGCCAGAATCTTTATGTAGGTGACTGTAGATCATGGTTATTTACTTTCATTTTCTCAGATATTAAAGCATATTTTCCATCTGAGTTTTGAATGGTAAGGGTAAGGCTATTCACTGCCTGCTATCCTCAAAATAGAAGTGGATGTGCAACCACAGATATTTCATTGAAAAATCTCAGAAAGATAAAAGCGTATCTTAAACATCATAGATACAGATTTCTATGCTGAAATGTCAACTTATAGATAGATGGCGTAACCCTAAAATGGTTGATGATTCCATTTTTGGTGCAGTTATAAATCATTTCACTTGTTTTTATTTCAGGACCTTCAGGATATAATGGCTACCCTGGGCCCCAGGTTGGCTACCCACCCCCACCAGCTGGCCATTCAGGTCCTGGCCCAGCTGGCTTTCCTGTCCCAAATCAGCCAGTATATAATCAGCCAGGTGGAGCTGCAGGGATACCATGGATGCCAGCACCACCGCCTCCATTAAACTGTCCACCTGGATTAGAATATTTAAGTCAGGTAATTTCAAAGACACAAAATACTCATAAAAAACAGAACTGTGCTTCCAGCTTGCTTAACCAGATTAACAAATGAATAATTCACCAAAGTCTGAAATGGCAAAACTATATTTCCTGCTAAGAGATTACTCTCATTCTTTTAGGTCAGGTTCAGTTTTAAAGCAAAACACAAATGCCTTAGAAAATTGTACTTTCTGTGATCTTAAATACAATCTACGATAATGGCCAGTAACAAACATTTAATTAACACTGTTTTCCTGTCTTTGTTGTATGCCTGATACATGTATTAACTCATTTAATCCTTATAGAAAGTCTATGATGTATAGGTGCTACAGTTATCTCCATTTTTCAAAAGAAGAAACTGAGGTCCAGAGAAGTTATATAGCTCGCTCTGGGGTGAGAACCTAAAGAGTTAAGACTGTTTTTTTAATCCCCAAACTTTGGTACTGAGCAAAGTGCTCTTTAATCTCAATACTGAATAATTGCTTTATAATTTGAAATAAAATTTAAGTTTATTTTTGAGTTTCAATAAGTGGCACCAAACAAGGGGTTAATATTTTATGTGTAATACAACTCACCTTTTTATTGTAACTAATAAAACTGCATTTTTATGATGCTGCTTTTGTTCTTTGGAAGACCCAATTTTATAAATGCCATTAATAAAGGAGTAAAAAGTCCTGGATTTTGTTGCACTGAATTATAATTAATCTCAGCAATAAGAAGTTTAACATTTATTTGGTGTTAGAAATCAGGTAGATCAAATAAAAACAAGAAACTCCGTGTGTCCAGCCAGTTTTCATTTCATAAATCACTTCTTTCTTGCACTCTCTTTAGTAACTTAATTTCCCACAATGCACTTAAGTGGCACAATCATAGGAATTTTTGGTCATTATTGTATTATGCAAGAAATACACAGAAATAGATATTTTAAAAATCAGGGTCTCATAAAATACATAAAGGATGTTATCACATATGACAAAGGCTGATATTAAGTATGCTTAATACAAATTTGAAACTTGTAAAAAAATCTCTTTGATGGCTAAAGAAGTTATCAATATTTCTTGAGCCTCCTCTAGAAGGAAGACTGTTTTCTACTTTTCAAATTGTTTTTGACACATAATAATTGTGCATATTTATAGAGTACAGTCTGGCATTTTAATGCCCATGTACTATGTGTAATGAAAAATGAGGATAGTTAGCATACCTATCACTTTCAATATTTATCATTTCTTAGTGTCGAAAACATTCCAGATCCTCTCTTCTAGTTATTTGAAAATATACAATAAATTGTTAAGTATAGTCAACCTGCATAGCTGTGGAACACTAGAATTTATTCCTCCTATCTAAATGTAATTTTGTATTCATTAACCAACTTGTCTTTATACCTCTCCTCTCTACCCTTCACAGTTTCTAGTAACCACTATTCTACTGTCTACTTTTTTTTGTTGTTTGGATGGAGTCTCGCCCTGTTGCCCAGGCTGGAGTGCAGTGGCGCCATCTCAGCTCACTGCAACCTCCGCCTCCCAGGTTCAAGCGATTCTCCTGCCTCAGCCTCCCAAGTACCTGGGCTACAAGCGCCCCCCCACCACACCCAGCTCGTTTTTGTATTTTCAGTAGAGACGGGGTCTCACCATATTGGTCAGGCTGGTCTCGAACTGCTGACCTTGTGATCCGCCTGCCTTGGCCTCCCAAAATGCTGGGATTACAGGCGTGAACCACCATGCCCAGCCTCTACTCTCTACTTCTAAGAAATCAGTTTTTTTAAGCTTCCACTTACGAGTGAGAACATTCAGTATTTTTCTTTCCGTGCCTGGCTTATTTCACTTAACATAAGATGTCCCTGGCCGGGCGCGGTGGCTCAAGCCTGTAATCCCAGCACTTTGGGAGGCCGGGACGGGCGGATCACGAGGTCAGTAGATCGAGACCATCCTGGCTAACCGGGTGAAACCCCGTCTCTACTAAAAAGTACAAAAAACTAGCCGGGCGTGGTGGTGGGCCACCTGCAGTCCGCAGCTACCTCGGATGAGGCTGAGCCTGAGATCATCGGCGTAACCCCGGGAGGCGGAGCTTGCAGTGAGCTGAGATCCGGCCGCTGCACTCCAGCCTGGACGACAGAGCGAGACTCCGTCTCAAAAAAATAAATAAATAAATAAATAATAATAATAATAATATGTCCCTTAGGCTCACCCATGTTGCTGCCAGTGATAGTATTTCATTCATTTTTATGGCTGAGTTTTATTCCATTGTGTGTATCAAGAATGAATTTTTCTTTATTCATTTATCTATTGAACACTTAGGTTGATTCTAGATGTTGACTATTAATGCTGCAATAAGCATGAGATTGCAGATACCTCTTTGACATATTGATTTCCTGTCCTTTAAAATTTTTGTTCTGAAAATTTCGAAAAATTTGAAAAAATACTGTTTAAAAAAAAACAGTAGTGGTATTGCTGAATCATATGGTGGCTGTAATTTTAGTTTTTGAGGAACCTCTTCACTGTTCTCCATAATGGCTGCTCTAATTTACTTTCCCACCAACAGATTTCCCCTTCTCCACATTTTTACCATTATTTGTTATGTTTTTGTCTTTTTGATAATAGTCATTTTAACTGGACAAAGATAATATCTCATTGTGGTTTGGATTTCATTTCTCTGGTGATTAGTGATGTTGAGCATTTTTTCATAAACTTACTGGCCATTTATATCTATGTATGTATGTATGTATGTATGTATGTATGTATTTATTGAGACGAAGTCTCGCTTTTGTTGCCCAGGCTGGAGTGCAGTAGCACAATCTCGACTCGCTGCAACCTCTGCCTCCTGGGTTCAAGTGATTCTCCTGCTTGAGCCTCCCATGTAGCTGGGACTACAGACGCCTGCCACTACACCCAGCTCATTTTTTGTATTTTTAATAGAGACAGGGTTTCACCATGTCAGCCAGGATGGTCTCGATCTCCTGACCTGGTGATCTGCCCACTTTGGCCTCCCAAAATGCTGGGATTACAGGCATGAGCCACCTCAATTTACTAATTGTTAAAGATACTCCAGTGTAAATCAATTTTATTTGACCTGAATTTTTCCACATTAATAATGAACACAATAAATCTTTTATTAATTAAAAATATTAACTTCAGTTTTATACTAAAAAGTAATATAAGCTATTAAATATTGATAACTGATTACATGTACTTTAAAAAATATAAATACATGAATTTTAATTTGGTTAGCTTATAAAAACCTTCATTTGACATATACTTACCACTTATTTTTTTTTTCCTGTGACAGATAGATCAGATACTGATTCATCAGCAGATTGAACTTCTGGAAGGTATGTATTCATTGTTTTAATCCTGTTTCTATACAGAGTAGAAGTTTATGCAGACAAAGGCACATCAACCTCTACAAATATAATACTCTCACTTATATGGGACAGTTAAGCCGGTTATTTACAGTAATAAACATCAGCAATTCGTTTCTAAAATTTAGGAATCAAAAGGTAAAATGCTAGTATGTTGGGCACCTGCCCTCAGGATATTGACACTAACTTAGAAGAAAAATAATCAAAACCCTTATTTTGCTCCTCTCTTCATACATCACTTTTTATCTGACTTCTGCCACTTAAGCTATTTTCTCGGTAATTGTGATCAGCTTAAGAATGGCACAGAGCCACATTCTAAAGTAAGTTATCTTTTTTATTCGGATGAGGAAGTTTGGGAAAATTATCATTGGTGCCCACAATTTCTCTTGGGAGTTAAGATGAATGCTATAAAACCTTTGTATACCAGGTCGGATGCAGGACACTGCAGTGTTGGAGGATGCTGACCAACTAGCCTGCCGGCTTGGCTTCATAGAAGAGCACTCCTGCTCCTGCTGAATGGCCTGGCATTTCCTTGGATCCAGGGCTCCTTAGGTGCAGGAATAAACTTAGGAAGCCAGTAATGTTTTATAATGACTGCCAGGGGAAGAAGACCCCGGGTAGATTTATGAACCATAGTGTTTTCCTTCTAGATATAAAAGGTTTAGTAAAAACTCTGCCAGTTTTTAGGAATATGTCTGTTAAATTCGTTTTCACCTGTCTCCAAAGTTTCTTTCCACTGGTAAAAATTAGAACATGGATTGTATAGGCAAAATAATGGATTTGGCTAAAATATACGATTGTCATCTATTACATTGAAGTTATTTATAAAGCACAATATTAGATATTTATAATTTACTTGTTTTTTTTTAGTGTATGTAAACAAAGCTTTCTCTGGAAGACAGCTTTGTATTCTGAATTTTTTATGTTTTATAGTATATATTAATAAGGCTATAAAATCCAAACAGACATATAACCAAACATTACACAGCACACTATTTATCTTTTTTTGTAGGTTTATGGGCTTTATAGATATTGTTAAATAATGTGTTAATTATGAAATAGAAAGTTCCAAATAATAGTTTTTAATTATGCTTATTTTTCAAAAAAGAAATGTCTCAAGGTTTTTTTTGTTTATTTTTCCCCAAAATTGAAAGTCTATGTTATTTTTTCGTGAGTGATATAAAAAAGACGAAGATTACTCAGTTTTTTAGAATCTGAGCATAAAATAGGCACTTACTTTTTTTCTCAGTTCAAAACACAGAAGACAATAAAGACATAAACAATTTGTTTTTTTAAGTAAATGAAAAGAAACTTAAAGGTTATGTAAAGCAATGTTGTTTTACAAATAAGCTGGAGATTTTTGAGATTAAGCTACTTAATGAAACAATTAATTAGATAATAAATGCCCTCTCAAAATCAGCTTAACTTTTTTCTCATTAAACATTTGACTATTTCAAATGTTGATATCAGAAGTGGTTCTTATAAATGCAGAGTACAGGGTCTGTCTCTGTCCCACCAAGGACTCTTAAAGACGTTCATAATGCTAAGACTTGTGAAGGCCATCTTTCTCTGACTCAGAGTCTTTCCACATAGGCATTGTAGAGTGACTTTTCCTCCACATATTTATTTTAATCACTCATTATTATAGTCAGGCTTCTGACATCCATGACCCCAGTTACTGAGGGCTATGTACAAGTGGAACAGTTACTGCTCCTTTCTGGCTTTAAATACGGAGAGGTTTCTTTCCAGTGTGTGGTTAGATACGGAAAGCCCTTGATACAAAAGCATGTGAGCGTCAGCATTTTGCAGCCATCTGTTTTGCTCATGAAGAGATTAGCCCAGCTAAGGTGCAGATTCCCATGGTCTAGATATTCTGTGAGTTGAAGTGTTGGTTGCCAAACACCCTTTGTCTAATACCCACCTCCCACTTCTGAACAACTACTGCTGAGTTGAATAAGGATGCCCTGGGTCCACTGTGACATTCTAATTCACCTTTCATTTTTCACTCCCTCGGTTTTTATGCACGTACATTGCCTTCTTTCAAAAGCATTGCAAAAATTAAGACATAAGTATGGTTTATAAGACAGTCTCAAACCGATTGATTTAATATAAAATTTCATAGCACATTAACAGCAATCCTCTTATATTCCCCTCCACATTACACAAAAACTATCATGCATTAGTGGACATTTTATCTATGCACCTAGCACCACTGTGCCCACCCACAGCATTGTCCCAACCCTCAGCAGAAAAGTCTCTCTTCTGACAGACATTTATGGAATTAGGAAAATATAACTTGTTTCCTGTGTCTCACATAAGGACTTAATTTCTCTATACATTGGTAATCTCTCCTCCTCCTTTTTTTTTTGCCATTTTTCTCTGCCTGGATCATCTATGAACATCATGTCTTCTCCTTATGCCACTTGGAGTATCATCTAAAACTGGCATAGCTAGATATTATATCATCTTTGGATAAATTCAATATTTTTAACATAGACGTGATTATGATTTCGTCTTTTATGTTTTTAGTTTTAACAGGTTTTGAAACTAATAACAAATATGAAATTAAGAACAGCTTTGGACAGAGGGTTTACTTTGCAGCAGAAGATACTGATTGCTGTACCCGAAATTGCTGTGGGCCATCTAGACCTTTTACCCTGAGGATTATTGATAATATGGGTCGAGAAGTCATAACTCTGGAGAGACCACTAAGATGTAACAGCTGCTGTTGTCCCTGCTGCCTTCAGGAGGTCGGTGAGCAATTACCAGGGCATTTTGTAAAGTAGTTCAGCAAGAATTTCTACCCTGTCATTGAACCTTTCATCAAACGTAGGCATTACGATTATTACATTTACATATATTATTTTGCCTTATAGATAGAAATCCAAGCTCCTCCTGGTGTACCAGTAGGTTATGTTATTCAGACCTGGCACCCATGTCTACCAAAGTTTACAATTCAAAATGAGAAAAGAGAGGATGTACTAAAAATAAGTGGTCCATGTGTTGTGTGCAGCTGTTGTGGAGATGTTGATTTTGAGGTAAGAGATGTCATAATGTTTATAAGATTTGCTTTCCTAATAGAAGAATGTAATTTTGCAGGATATTATAAATGCATTAAATAAGTATTGTGTGCCAATGTCTCAATAGCAAGATAATTTGCTCATATATTTAACTTTGGTCAGAATGATAGTTATCACTCTGATTAAAGGTCACTGTTGGTCATGATAAATGGAAAAAAGAGAAGCAGACCTATGTAGTCAAATAAAAATAAGCAAATCATCTAACACTTAAATGTGGTGGTTTCTGTGTGATGACACTGTATATGATCCATTTTAAACAGAATGTTAACCTTGTCATCTAAGTCTGATTGCCAAAGCATATGGATCCTTCTTAAATCTGAAATATCAGCTGCCAGTGCTCAAGGCCATGTTCAGAATGTCTGACATCTTTGAATTCCTACTAGAAACCCAATTATGCAAAGATAGTTTTGAGAAAATTAGTATAATATATACTACCCAATTATGCTTCTCTGTGGTCTCTGCTTTTCCCTGTATTAAATTAGGTCACTGGAAGCTGCAACATATTAATATTTGTATATTTACTGTAATATATTGTAGAATTTCATTACAGTAGTTCTTCAACAACAGATGGTCTACTTTTACAATCCAAATTTTTTCATTGCAAATGTTTAAAAATCAGAAGGTTTTATGACTTAATCTTGATTTCTTGTTTCTCTTGGAAAATCAGAAAACTGGGTTAACTGGTCCCACCTTTCCACAGAAAGGGCAAAAATCTACTAAAGATGTGTGGGGCTGCCCCTTGTAATAATGACATGGGAACTCTATCACTGTCTCCACCCCTTACTGAGGTTTTTCAATATCCAGTGTCATTCCTTTACATGATCTGTCTGCCTTCTTTAATCATATGGTATTTGATTCCTCTGTCAGACCTCAGCTATGTAAAGATGAATCCTTTTCCCTCATTGACTTAATAATCTAATGACAGAGATTTGCAGTTCTAAGGAGGAGGTGATGTAGAAACTTTAAAAAGGCTCTTATAAAGGGATTGTATAGTGTGTGTATGTATATGTGTGCATAATATGCATGTATAAAATTTTATATAGGGGTATGCATAATAGCAGTTCTTCATGTAAGGGATGGAATCTCTATCCTACATCCAGAGAAGTGAAAAGTAATTTCTCATTCAAGGAACAATATTAACAGAAGTTTGGCTGGCATATATTTTACTTTTAGTAAATAAATGTAAACACTGGAAAAGCATTGTGTAATCCTTATATTTGATACTAAAGAATTTATGTTTCATGTAGCAGCCTTCCTTGATGGATACCTTGAAGCATCCATTCCGTGTAATAAATTAACTTTTCTTCTATTTATCCAGAATGATGATATCAAGGTACTCTCATGGAAAGAATTGAGAAATAGTCACTTGAAGAATTTTCCGTGGGGTTGACAATGGAAACTGTGACACCTCAAAGCAGAAATTATTGGTATGAGGGACCACTAAGGAACAGGAAATCCACCAGGGTGCCACTGGGCATGGAAACTTGAAGTAATAAAAGAGATAAAATCCTGTTCCACAGCAGGGGCAGGAGTCATTCTAAAACAGAGAATAACTCAAGAGGCATTTTATCGGTGTACTCTGTGGAACTAATTCATGGATTTGATGTCAATTGAGGATGAAAAAAATTTTGGAGATAAACTTGATGTGTTATTATTCTGATATTACATTGGCCAAGTTGAGAATCTTGGAGGAAAAACACTTGATTTGTGTCCTCTTGACCATTATGATAGTCTGCTTTTTAAAAAGTAAGGTATCAAATACTAATACACATCTAGGTCAGGGACCAGCAGAATGTAATCAATGGGCTCTAGTTGATTATATAAAATATATATGGGAAGTTAATGACTTGAATTACAGTCATGTTGGATTTTAGTTATGTAGAGGAAAAGAATGGAGAGTTTTCAGCAAACAGATAGTAATTGAATCTCTAAGAAGGTTATCTCAATGGTGAGTAAGAGAGAGCCTAGTAGACCTTTTATCCAATATAGATAATAAGAGAGTCTGTCTCCTTCAAGGACTCTTGGTAGGGGAAAAATATGGCCACACGAAACTGACATACCAAGTCACTTCTGTCTATGAGCTTGAATTCCTGCCACTGTTGTGTTTCAGGAATCTCAAAATACAGAAATTGATCCTGAGTGGTAATAAATTCTATATGGTCAACTACAGCCCACAGATTTTTTTTCCTGCCCTCTCAACTAGATTTTCATTAGTATTCAATAAATATGTTTTTTAAAAGCAGGCAATCGTAATGGTCAAGAGTATAGACACTGGAGCCAGATACCCAGGTTTGAAACCCATCTTCATAACACTTACCTGTGTGACCTTCAACAAATTCTTTCACTTCTCTTTGCTTTAGTTTTTTTACATGAAAATTGGGTGTAATAACAGTAAATAAATAAATAATTAGCAAGTAAATAAAATAGCTTACCAGCAACTATTAATATACTCACGATACACTTATATTTCTTTGCTACATAACTAGATCCTATATACTGTCGTTATATTTCAGTATTTTGCATTTATATTTGCATTGTGAGATGAATCTATGGTTTTCTTTTTAGAATGATTTACCAATTAGTATTACGTTTATGGATTTAAAAGTTTAACATTATACAATACCAATTTATTATTTCCAAATGTTGAAATTTTATTACAGTAATTTTCTATTCCAAAATGTCTACAATTTAGCTAAAAATTATCTAGTCCTGATAATTTATTGGTTGAAAATCATTATTTGCATTTCTTTTCCTTGCCATAAAAAAATGTATTCTCTACTTCTTTAAATTTCTTGCTGTAGTAATCAAAAAGGGCAAATGTTAATGTCTTTGTATAGTGTTAGGTTTACAGTGGCTAGTAAGTTGTCAGCTGCATTTTTCATTTTTTTTAAATTTCAGAATTAAAAAATAAACCAGAGTTTTCATTACTAGCTTCAAATGCTTCAATGACAGCTATTAGCAGAAAAATACTAGCATGTACAAGAAAGGATTTGTATTCATTTATTTTGCCACAGTAGTATTTCATTACACATAATCCCTAAAACTCAGCCGCTTGCAACAAGCGTTTATGCTCATGCTTAGGGGTGTGCAGGTCAACTGTATTTCAGTGGATGTATTTAAGCAGTGATTTGGGCTGCATGTTAACCTCAGTCTGCTCCAGGTATGTTTGTTCTGTGGCTGTAGCAGCAGCAGCTACCTGAGTCATGCTTTTCTAGTGGCTTGTCACTGAAGATCATAAGCCAGGCCAAAGCACTTAGCCCAGTTTAAGGACACTCTCATGTCATATGTACTGACACCCATTGTTCAAACAAGTAACATGGCCAAGCCTAATTATGAAGGAACAGGAAGTATACTGGCCATACAGAAGGAGAGGGAATGAAATGAATATTTGATGAACAGTATTATGCTATCAGTTTCATGTTAGATGTTTATTTCTGGTATTTTACAAACTCTCCACTTGTACTAAAATAAAGTGAGTCAAGTGTTTTTAGATTCCCCACATATATTTAGCTGAAAAGGACACTCCTCTGTTAACACAACTATAGATGTGCCTAGTTTTGTGAATTTCAGCTACATTCAGTCCCCACCTGCCCTCCTAGAGGAGTTGCCTTAGTCTGAGCACAGTCCATTCAACCCTATATGATGGCCCTGGGCTTTCCTCAGGCAGAATTGTAAAATTAGAAAATTGCTACTTTGGAGCTCATTTGTTTATACACTCTTCGTCTTTTATTATTCACACCCCACTAGTTACCCACTGTTACTTCAGCCCTTGTCGTGGGGCATTCCATCAAGTTACTTACTGGTATTTGCCTTTACTCCAAACTGCTAATCTTTTCTAGGCGCTTAGCATTTCATGTTTGGTCACTCACAGTGGGTGGTAATAAGCCTTTTCATCATATTTAACCTTTCGGTCTGTGTAAACTGTGCTTCTCCTAAAGCAGAAGTCTAATAGGAATTTTGTTCATTACCTTCCTGATGGCTTCTAGAAATGTCATCACATAAACATTTCATATTTATATCTTTTTTTGCCTAAATTTTATTTTGGGTCAATTCAAATAATTCATTAATGTCTATTAATATAAAATAGAAATTGTTAAATATTTCAGAAAAACTACTTTCATATAATTTCTCTATATAATGAAACAGTTTTTTTCATATATCTATAAATAGATACCGGAGCCTCTAGTTATCTAATGAGGGTTACATGTTCATGGTTACATATGGTACATAATTTTAATACCATATTTGTTTCATCTTCAAATTTGAAAGTACTTTTGCTATAAGTTTCCTAAAAATATGTAATACTTTTTTTTCAATTTAGATTAAATCTCTTGATGAACAGTGTGTGGTTGGCAAAATTTCCAAGCACTGGACTGGAATTTTGAAAGAGGCATTTACAGACGCTGATAACTTTGGAATCCAGTTCCCTTTAGACCTTGATGTTAAAATGAAAGCTGTAATGATGGGTGCCTGTTTCCTCATTGTAAGTCTGTTCTTACTAATGTTGATTATAGATGCTTTCTCTAGGTTCATTCTGAAATGATTCAGTAAAGTGTATATTTCAAAATGACTTTTTAAAATTTATGGATTTTAAATCAGGATTCCCATTTAATCCTAGCTCTGAAATTCTATTTGATCCTGACACTCTGGGGTGACTAGTTTCTGTCTGAAGAGTCTATGAATATTCACATGGCAAGAGAGGGACTAGGGAGGCGTACTAAGGAGAGATTTTAGTCTCCCCTTAAATCAGCCATCTCCTAGATGCTTTGAGGAAGAAGTTGAAAGTGGACATATGTGGAAAAAATTTAGTGAAACAAGGAAACTTGACCATGACTCATAGTAATTAAATTAAACCATCTAATATAGGAGTATGAACTACAGTAAGAGTGTGCATTCACTCAAGTGTGTAGACCTAACTACCAAATTACAGGAGATAATCGGATATACCAGTGATTCTGAAATTGTCTTCACATTAGAATCACTTAGGGACCTTTAAAAACTGTAAATACTAGTCCATACCTCAGTTCAACTGAGTCAGACTTCAAAGTTCATATAGTGCTCCAGGTGGTTCCAATATGCAGCCACAGATGAGAATTATGGGGATAGAGAAAAAGTCACATTTAGAGAAAATGACCGGAAGATTAATTAAATTCATACACGTATCAATACATGAATAGAATTATAAAATTTATTATTAAAATGGAAAGCTAAAGGTAGAACTTATATAACTATAGAGCTTTTCTGTGTTTATTACATTTAATTTTTTTTAACAGATATGTTATTGTGTTTCACTAGATCCCTTAGTATTTCTGCATCTGATAATTGATCTCTGTTTTGTTGCTGAAAATTCATTTGTATGTTTTTGTTTTTATCTAGGATTTCATGTTTTTTGAAAGCACTGGCAGCCAGGAACAAAAATCAGGAGTGTGGTAGTGGATTAGTGAAAGTCTCCTCAGGAAATCTGAAGTCCGTAAATTGATTGAGACTATCTAAACTCATACCTGTGTGAATTAAGCTGTAATGCCTGTAGCTCTGGTTGTATACTTTTGCTTTTCAAATTATAGTTTATCTTCTGTATAACTGATTTATAAAGGTTTTTGTACATTTTTTAATACTCATTGTGAATTTGAGAAAAAGGACATCTGAGTTTTTGCATTTATTAATGAAACTTCCTATAAAAAACTGCTTTGAATTATGATCTCTGATCCACTGTCCATTTTACTACCGAATATTAACTAAGGCCTTATTAATTTTTATATAAATTATATTTTAAATCTAGTTACAATTTATTTCATGCATAATAGCTAATGTTATTTTGCAAATGCCATATATTCAAAAAAGTTCAAAGATAATTTTCTTTACTGTTATGTTCAAATAATGTTCAATATGTATATTATCTTTAAAAAGTTAAATGTATTTTTTAATCTTCAAGAAATCATGCTACACTTAACTTCTCCTAGAAGCTAAGCTGTACCATAAATGACACATTCATGTTCACAAGATATTAAATTACCAATTTTTAAATTATTGTTAAATAAAGAACAAAATAAAGAACAAAATGATTCTTGTCCAAAGAAAGGCACATTTTAAACACTCCTTCACTCTAAAACTTGTACTATTATAAATTTTGAAAGTTAATATTTATATATGAAATGTATAGCTTTTATACTCTATCCTTTCTAGAAAATGGTAATTGAGATTACTCAGATGTTAATTAAATATAATATTATATATATATATTCACAGAGAATAAACCTAAATAATGATCTATTAGATTCAAATATTTGAAATAAAAACTTGACTTTTTTTGTGTATTTGACTTTTGTTTTTAAACAAAATGTGTTCAGATGGTATTTTGAACACTCATTCAGTTAAATGATGGTACATTTGAAGCAGGATATTTCCCTGACCCCTTCCTGGGACTCGAGAAGGGGTGTCTTGTTTACTCAGCCTGCCACTCTCAACTCCTCCTGGGAGGGAGTGCGCAGGCAAACAAGGCAGGAACTGGAGTGCACAAGCACTGGAACTGGCTCACCGCTTTGGCACGGGCAAGAGCAAACTCCGTGCACGCCCTGTGGTAGCAACCAGGTGTGGTTGCCTGCGATTCCTGAAGCCCCAGAAGGTGTGTTACAGTGCTCTTTTAGCTCTGCTGTCTGTGGACAGCTTAAGTGTTAACAGCTCAGTGAGCCCTTTGTCTTGTCACGTGGGACAGCTGCCCTCCACCAGCAAGGGCAAAGGGCGAGTGTTAGTGCCTTTTATATCTGCACTCATGGCTCCCAGGCTCTTGTCCGGCGTCCAGGAAAAATGTGGTCACAAAAACAACTGAAGGATGGTAAATGCGGGGATTTTATTGCTGAGGAAAGTGATTCTCAGTGGAAAAGGGAGCTGAAAAGGGGACAGTGGGGTAGGTGATCTTCCCCTGAAGTCTGGCCATCTCCAGCTGGATTCTCCTCTGAAGTTACACTGTCAAGCTATCCCTCTGAAGTCAAGCTGCTTCTCTCCAATGTCCAGCCATAGTCTCCACTCCTCTCTGACTGAGTCTGGGGTGGTAGGCACAGGATTGCGGGCAGGGAGAGCCATGGGCAGTTTAGGAAAAGGCAACATTCAAGGAGAAAAACATGGATATAAATTCTCACTTTGGGCCAGGGTTTCAGGCATTTCAGCTTGAAGGTAGAGTTTTCACTGGGGACTCACCCTTTTCTGCCTAGAATTTCTCTGCCTCCTGTCCCCATCATGTTTAACTGCCTTTTCCTTTTAAATCTCCTTTAAAAAGGAGCAAGTACATGACACTTTGTAGTAAAATCTGTACCAGAGTTGGAAAATAGGTTTTCCACCTGTCAGAAGCTGGTAAGAATGTAGTAATCTCTTTTGTAATGAAGATTGAGTTGAAAGATGACATGAACAACCCACAATATTCCTCACGCAATGGAAAAGTGTGCTTAAGCAATAAGGGCATGTGGAAGAGTCTCTCTTTCATATTCAGCACAATTCTTATAACAGCAGCTCTCCTCATGGTGTTAGTGCCCTAGACCTCAATAGCTCCAAATGGCAAGTGGTGAGAACATTAATATGCAGGAGATCTTCAAGAAAAGCCAAGTCTAGATGATTTCCCACAAGCCTAAACAAATCGCCAGATGCCAAATTCCAACGATGAAGTGTACCCATGGAACTCACTCAGAGCGTGTGCTTGGTAGAGATAGCATGTCAAGAAAAGTGGAGGTACTTGCATAGCTGAATCCCAATGGCATTGTTATGCCAGTTACAGAAGAGAGTGGAAATAGGATTTCCAAACTGGCCCTAATGTGTCAAAACTGACCCAAAATAAGGCTTAGAGTACTGACATTATCTCTGTGACAGTTACATCTTACTTTCATTATTTGTCTCTCTCTAAACAGGATTCTGAATCTTTGGTTAAGTAAAATAAAACTAAACTGATCTAAACATTTTTTTCTTCAACTCTGCAAAGAAGATCTGAGCAAAACCCCACATATTTTCTGCAGAACCTATACTAGACAAATATCTTATCATTGCATAATTACATAGGGAAAAATAATCACACATGAAAAAATCGATATTTAATTAAGAAAATACCAGGAATTGTTTTTCAAAGTTTAACTGTAATCTTAATGAGATTTGAGGAAATGTTGCATATTTTTTTATTTCTGCTATGTGAGTCATAACAGTGAATGGAAAGTCACTGCGTGTGCCTGACTAGGGAAAATGTTGAGGAGGAAAAGCTGCAATGGATGGGGCATGGAGCTGTATTTTTGGTCTTGGGAAGAAAGTTCTAGGTAGATGGTCAGTGAGGAATGGGGAGAATGGGGAGGGAGGAGGAAGACAAGATTTAAGGGATGTCAGTACCTCTCCTATGTACCTCTTGGGGGAGGGTTGAAGAGTGAGGGGTGTGTAAGTGAAAGCAGAGACAAGGCTGGGAGAGGAAAAAACAAAAAGCACCAGCCACAGGCAATTAAGTTACCAGAAAATCAGTGTCTGGGCTCCCAGCATCAAGTTAGCTAGCTACTCTAGGCATAAGTACTAAAGCTTTAACTGCATTTGGGCTCAAAAAGAGCGACTGTAACTTTAGGGTAACTAGAAAAGACTGTAGAGAATCCCTGCCATCAGTAAGAATGGAATGATTTAAAATGTCTCTGGGCACAATGAAGTGCTCCGAGTGCTTAAAGTGCCAGAAAAGTGTACAGGGTTTCCCTCCATATCCTGCCTCTCTCCTTTCCTGTCCCTAGCCCAGCATACACTGCCTGAGTTTCCTAGGACCACGTTCCTGCACCTGACACTGTCTCCTTCAAGCTCTGTGCTCCTCCTTGTGCCTTCATTTCCCTCAATAGTCAATAGTATCGTTGTCAATTGATTATGTTATCTACCTTATAAGGTCAGTGTGAAGATTCAGTATTCTAATGCAGGTTCAGAGACATGAGCAGGTTCCTGCAGTAGAACCAGTGTAAAAAATGAAAAGGGCTATGTGTTGATAAAAATCAATGGGTTTCGAAACACAGGGAAGTGTCTCAAAGCCAATGAGGAAGATTTGGGGTAAATTAAATTTCTGTATTATGATTTGAATAGCAAATAAAATTCATTTAAACCCTAGGAAGAATACTATCTCCTCAAAAAAAAAAAAAAAAAAGATGTCTATGCAAGATGCCAACCTAGGGAATGATGTTCATCTCACAGAAGTGTAGATTAAAGGAAATTAAGGCATGGGGGGAACACAGTCTTTGGCTTCTGCGTTAGAGTACTTTTTTTTTTTTTTCCTTAGCCTTATAGTGTCAAAATGTGGCAAGCCATTTTAAGAGAGGGACAGTAGCTGGGCTCAGTGGCTCTTTCCTGTAACCCAGCACTCTGGGAGGCCAAGACAGGTGGATCACCTGAGGTCAGAGGTCAGGAGTTCAAGACCAGCCTGGCCAAAATGGTGAAACCCCATCTCTATTAAAAATACAAAAATGAGCTGGGAATGGTAGCGGGCGCCTGTAATCCCAGCTACTGGGGAGGATGAGGCAGGAGAATTGGTTGAACCTGGGAGGCAGAGGTTGCAATGAGCTGAGATCACGCCATTGCACTCCAGCCTAGGTGACAAGAGTGAAACAGCTTCTCAAGAAAATAAAAGAGAGAGAGAGGAACAATAATCTGGGTCCCTGAAACCAGATGAAACAACTGACAATACAGGGTTTGAACTCATGATTTACAAACTGAGAGGGCCATAGAATGATAAGCAATAAGTACAGCTGGTCACAGAGCTCTGCACTTAACAACCCCCAACACACAGACACACACACCAAGCATTCAAGTTAACGTTAATCTACTGTTAATGTTTATCCAGTAGGAAACATCAGATTTATGCCAAAATGCAGATTATAAATTTATCCACATTGAATTCTGACTAGATTTGGAAAATTGATCTGCTTGCCCACTAAGGACAATTTGTTTCTACCTGTGGATTCTGGGAGTTTTCCACCATTAACACATTGAGGTTATTCTGTCTGGCAGTGATAGGGAACAAACATTGACCTATTTATTTCAGCAAAGGAGTTAGTTGCTAGGAAAAATTTCAGCTTTAATCGGGCATTGCCAATAGACTGCAACCACCTGGAAATATCTTAGAGAAATTCTCAGTTATATTGACTTTACAGAGTTAATTAGATCTTAGTTTACTACCCGGTCCGCTCGGGCTTCTATACCAAAACAACTTAGACAGGGACAGTGTAATTATAAATGACTAAAATTTGTTAATTATAGTTCATGAAGCTGAGAAGTCCAAGATCAAGTCACCAACAGATTCTGGTGTGTAGTGAGGGCTGCTCTCTGCTTCCAAGATGGCACTTTGTTGCTCCATTCTCACATGGTGGAAGGCAGAAGGTCAACAGGGACCCAACCGAGCCCTTTTAAAACGTCACCGATCCAATTCGTGAGAATGGTGCCCTCATGACTTAATCACATCCTAAAGACCTCATATCTGAATACTGTCAAAATGGGTCTTAGTTTCCAACAAATGAATTTGGGGGGACACATGCCTTTAAACCATGGCACCTACTAAGCACATTTCTGCTAAATCATACTGTCTGAATTCTCTCCCCATTATTGCAAGTCACAAGCAGAAGATAATTTACTCACAAAAGTCTTTTTTTTTTTTTGCAAATCTATTTTGGTTTTTATGAATAAGATAGATTCACTCAAATAATTCACATAAATGTATTTGTAAACTTTATAATTGAGGAAATGAATATAAAAAACGTAAAGCTGATTGATTTAGGGGCACTGAAACTGCTCATCAACTATTTAACAAGTACATACAGAGCTTCTACACTGGGCCAAGAGTTATGCTAGGTACGATGTCTCAATAAGCAACAAAAATTATTTTCTACAAGGTGCTTAAGGTCAATTATACCTATGGAATGTGTGATTATAGGATTCAGAGTACTATGGAGAGGGTTAGTAGGGGCACTGAACTCAGTTTTAATGGTCAGGAAATTAGGGGAAGTAACTTTTAAACTAAGAAAGCTTGCTGGACAAAAGGGAAGTGAGAAGATTATTTCAGGGAAAGGAAAGAACATAAACAGAAGTCACCTCAGGGGTCTGAAATGTGGTTAGGCCACTGGTTTTGTGTTCCTTCATGAGTGAAAGACATGCAGGGGGTGGGACATCTAAAGAGTGGCTACATCATACAGTGCCCTAGTCACATTAAGAAGTTCAGGTTGGGGCCAGACGTGGTGGTTGACACCTGTAATCCCACCACTTCGAGAGGCTGAGGTGGGAAAGATCAAGTGTCCTTTCCTCCTCATAGCTCTCTCTCAGTCTCTAG